ATCGAATCTTGGGCTAGTAACATATCGATTGACAAAGGGAATTGTATACGGGATTGATTGAATCCCCGACATCGTGGTTCATCCGATGAGATCATCGTGGAACATGTGGGAGTCAACATGGGTATCCAGATCCCGCTGTTGGTTATTGGCCGGAGAACTGTCTCGGTCATGTCTGCATGATTCCCGAACCCGTAGGTCTACACACTTAAGGTTTGGTGACGCTAGAGTTGTTATGGGAAATAGTATGTGGTTACCGAAGGTTGTTCGGAGTCCCGGATGAGATCCCGGATGTGACGAGGAACTCCAGAATGGTCCGGAGGTGAAGATCAATATATTGGACGAAGGGTATTGGAGTCCAGAATTGTTCCGGGAGTACCAGGTGACGACCAGCGTGACCGAAAGGTGTTTCGGAGGCCCCGGCAAGCGTTTGGGGGCCTTATGGGCCAAGTGGAGGGGGCATACCAGCCCACTAAGGGGCTGTGTACCCCTCCCAACCCCTCTCACGTAACCTGGAGAGGTGGGGGCGCCTCCCCTAGGGCAGCCGCCCCTCCCGGCTTGGGGGGCAAGTTTCCTAGGGGTGGGGGCGCCCAAACCCATCTAGGGTTTCCCCTGTGGCCGCCACCCATCCCCTAGGGAACCCTAGGGCACCTCCTCCACCCCCCTTTCCCCTATATATAGTGAGGGAGAGAGAGGGCAGCCGCACCCTTCCCCTGGCGCAGCCCTCTCCCTCCTCCAACACCTCCTCCTCCTCCGTAGTGCTTGGCGAAGCCCTGCTGGAGAACCATGAGCTCCACCACCACCACGCCGTCGTGCTGTCGGAGTTCTCCCTCAACTTCTCCTCTCCCCTTGCTGGATCAAGAAGGAGGAGACGTCCCCGGGCTGTACGTGTGTTGAACGCGGAGGCGCCGTCCGTTCGGCGCTAGATCGGATCTTCCGCGATTTGAATCGCCGCGAGTACGACTCCATCATCCGCGTTCTTGTAACGCTTCCGCTTAGCGATCTTCAAAGGTATGAAGATGCTCATCCTCTCCCTCTCTTGTTGCTAGAATCTCCATAGATTGATCTTGGTGATGCGTAGAAATTTTTTGAATTTCTGCTACGTTCCCCAACAGTCCATGGCCGTGAGCTCGCCGCCGTGAGATCCCCACCCCCTCTAGTACTAGTAGTGAATGTAGTATGTAGTATGAACTAGTGTTTGTAATGAATTAGTGTTTGATCATGTAGTATATATAATATGTGATGAACTACTGTGGTTGCAATTTCTCCCACAAACTTTTTTTCAAATTATGCAGTTCCATATACGGTTTCTGTTCGGCTGCGCAAGTTTTTGACCCGCAAACGAGATCTACATCGAACTGCAAACGCGTTTTGCGGGTCGGGATTTTGCGGGGTCTGCTAGAGTTGCTCTGACTACTTAGCGGTGCGGTGTGGTGAGGTGTGGTTGGGAAGGTGAGTGATGTTGACCAAACCCATTCATTGTTATTAGGCGTTTATTTTCTATGGTCTACGTACCAGTAGTGCTACTACAAAGCTAATTTGTCAATCAATCAATCAATCTGCTATCAACCGGGTAATTCCAGTTGATCATAGTAAGCAAAAAAAAAGGTCGTTTGCTGCAAACTAAATTTCCACCTTAGCCAATTCAGTACTTGCACATAGTGGACATTGACACACTTGAGAAAAAAGTTGTGTGCATTTAGGATTATTATTTTTCACACCGAAAGGTAATTAATGGTTTCAACGATAGCAATGACCTTTTGTTATCTCTTGATCTTATTGAATGCAGTTAGTGATGAACGGTTCTTATGCGGCCGCACTTAAAAAATGGTTGTGTGCTATATTACTCTTCTATGAACCTTAGCAGAAATCACAATTTTACGTTTCAAAAAGTTACAAAAGAGAAACATAGATGCAGATGACCACCAACCATATGATAAAAGACAAAAACAAAACGAGAATACACAACTCCTAAGCTAAGCCTTTAAGAAGGAGTTGCCGCACGTGCGCCGAATGATGACAAGTCCAACCCAATGCCGACTCGGGATTTTCATCTCCAAAGCTAAGCTTCGATCCACCACCTTCATCAAGGGCATGACGTAAATGCGCGTCGACATAGCCCGATCGAAGATCTGGTGTTTTCACTTGAGTGTGTATGCTCATCATTGAAGTCGCCTCTACCATCAACACTTGTCTATGATAGAAGCCTCACCTTATAAGCTTCTGCTAAAAAAATATAACCCTTTTTTTACCCGTGCGAAGATACAAATTGAATCTCTTTTTTTTACGTAAAATTGAATCTTTCTTTAATAAGCTTAGTAACTTGTACCTTGGCATTTTGTGCGGTAAATCATTTTTTATCTCCCTTTTTCGCAAAGGGGGGTAGCCCGGCCTCTGCATCGCATGATGCACACAACCATTTAATTAAACGTGAAACAAGTTCAAGTCACCAAATGCCAATAGCTCACAAATATCTATGATTCTACCAAATTTTATATACTAGACCACAATGCAGTCATAATATTTGAGAACTTGGAGATGCATTACATTAGGGACCCCAGGGCTTCAGTTCAGTGGGGGTACGGTTAGGAATAAATTTAGGGTTTGTCTCTGATAGGTGATGGCATCGTCGTCGGTGTGAAACAAGGGCCTCCATATCTTGGTCGCGTCTATGGAGTGAAAATGCGGATGTGCTCTTGGCCCTCCGGCTCCAGTTTCGACCGATGAAGGTTGGCCAGTCTCATCCTTGTCAAGGAATGTGTGAGATTGTGTTCTTAGCTCTGTATCGTCGAACCTGGGGTGTTCTATAGGTCCTCTGTAGTGTTTTCTTATCCGGCACGGCAATCTACGCCGATCGCAGTCGTCGGCGTCTTCCGGTCCACATCAACGACTTCCCGGACGTGTCTTACACAAGCTTTCGTGTTTCAAAAGGTTTGTTTCATTGAGATGGAGGCCCGGATACGACGACTAATTTTGCTCACGGTGCGCCCCCAGTATATGCAGGAGGAAAAAGCTTCTGCACCGTAAGGATTTATATATATATTCCGGTTCCTATAAGGATGTCCTTTTAAGATCTTATGCTACTTAATAAACGGGTTTTTGCCTTTCCGCAAGAAAAAATCAAGGAGACATGTACATGAGTATCCATTTTCCCAAAATCCGGTAGAGTAAAAAAGAATAGGGTGTGGGTAGGTCTCACTTAACTAAGACTTAACAAAGACTTAACAAAGTCTCAGTTAAGTGAGACAACATATAAAAAAGAAGGAAGAAAAAAATACACGAATCTTTACGTAAGATCTCACGAATATAGCTTCGTTAAGTCCCGATCGACTGAGAGTTAGCAATGCTGAAAAGAATAATACCATCCATTTGGCACAAATAGGTTAAGTAATGCTGATATAGCAGAGAGATTATCATATATATTATGTTGGTAGGCCGGCCGGACAGCCAGCCAGAGGAGAACCGGCGGAGATGGAGAGGGAGAGGGAGTGGAGTGGAGGGCCAGTACGTTACAGGTGTGCGGGCTGCGGGTGCAGGGCCGGCCTGTCAGTCTCAGTCAGGCTGCCTGTCTGCCAGGTAGTTAACATGTTGCCTCCTAAAAAAACTGGCCCGTGACCCCACCGCACGCACGCACGGCCTCCCTAACCAGCTACTACTAATCACACTCCTAATCCCCCAACTAATCTAATCACTGTTAAGTGGTAGCGGTCCAACAATCTTCCTTCACCAGCACACATTCATCATTCCTTCCTTCCTAGTACCACCACTCCACAGTTCCTAACACACACCAAACTCAGCCTGCCATCAAGCCCACGACCCCAGAGAGCAACACGCCGCGACTCTGCATTAGCCGCGACAACCAATCGGCCATCGATCTCGTGTGTGTGTGTGCATCGATCGATACAGAGGCAGGAGGACCAGGTGACATGCCGAGTTCCAGCATCATCGGAACTCAAATGGTGTTAGATTTGGGTTTTGCAGTGAATTTGAATCCTCCTCCTCGGAATCGGAAGATTGTTTCGAGATGTCGGAGCATATTTGAAGGTTAGCTGGGCTGGGTTGGGTTGGGTTGGAGATGGAAGAAAGGAAGCGGGGGTTGGATGGTGTGGGGAGTGAGTACTCCTTCCTTTCTTGGTGGTAGAGCAACAGCCAGCCAGGCCACCTATACCCAAGCTAACCACACCACACACACATACATACATACATACAAATATATTCTCCGGCTCCCCTTGCACAACACAAAGATAGATAGATTATTTCCATGGTGATGATGCTGATGCTGATGATGCAGAGAGAGACAGACAGAGACATAGAAGAATATGAAGAGGAAGAAGAAGATCACGGCTCCCTTTACGTGAGCACAATGCCTACTGGAGAGGAGTAGCAGTACCCCACACCTTTTCCAGCTCCCTCTCTCCCCTGTTTGCTTGCTTGCTTGCTCGCCACTTTACACTCGTTTGCATTGCACTACACACTCACTCTCAGCTCATCACCATTGATGAATTGCAATCTAGCTCATCATGATCATCACACTCTCAACTCTCCAAATGAAATGTAGTAGTATTACTACTACTATTCAGCAATTCAAAATCAAATCTTACAAATGGGAATCAAATTGACTGTTGGCAGCATACCAAGAGGGGAACACTGCTTGCTTGATCAGCCAATCTCAGTGAGTGAATCAATGAATCAATCAATATAATGAATTTAATCACATGGTAGATGTCAAATTTCAGACAAGCATTTGTTTGTACCCCCAACCCAGCAAATCTTACAGTGGCCACCGGTTTCCAATCATCATCAATAATCAATCAATTTGAGCAGAACAAATGGTAAAAAAGGAAGAGGAAGAAAGAATATGTATGGTTTCATATCACAGCAAGGCATGTACTACTATGTAAATGTGTATCTCTGTGTGTGTGTGTGTGTGTGTGTGTGTGTTGAAGGAATGGGAAACAGAGGAGCTAATTACTGTCTGTATATGTTGCCCGATCGCTTGGTGGCTAGTAATGGCAGTCCACCAGGGCCGACGCCGTCGCCGGGAACGGCAGCAGCTTCGCCGCCGACGATGGCCGCTCCTTCACGGCGAACGTGAAAGAGCCCGGCGATGTCGCGGTCGCGGCAGGGTCGTCGCAGGGCGCCGGCATGTTGAGATCCAGCTCCAGCAGGCTCTTCTCCTTCCTGATCACCAGCACCGCCGCCACGCCGTCCGTGGAAGAGACGGACGCCGACGCCGGCAGCAGCGGGCGGTGGCGCCGCATGTGCCCGCCCAGCGCCTGCCCGGACCCGAACTCCGCGCCGCAGATGGAGCACTCGTGCACCCTCCCCTGCCCCTGCTGCTGTTGCTGCTGCTTCGACGACGACACGACGGTCGCCGTGGCCGCCCCTTCTTGCTTCGGCGGCGTCGCCGGGACCGGGATCGCCAGCACCGTCCGATCCACGGCAGCGGCCGGCGACGGCGACGAAGGCGGTGGTGGCGTCTTCTCGTCGGCGGGCAGCTTCTTCTCCTCGGACGACGACGCCGTCGCCGCGGTGGTGGGCGGGAGCGGGAGACGCGGCTTCTTGTGGCTGGTGCGGTGGCCGCCGAGCGCCTGGAAGGACGGGAAGCACTTGCCACACGTCCGGCACTCGTACACGAACTCCCCCTCGCCGCCGTCCGCCGGGCGCCGGCTCCGGAACTTGCCCTCCCGCGCCGTGGCCACCGCCATCACCCCCGCCGTGGACTCCGCGACGTCATCCCTCACCACCACCGACGACGACGCGGACGACGCCCCGGCCCTGCTTCCTTGCCCGCCGCCGCCGCGCGCGAGCAGCATGAGGCAGAGCGCCATGTCCTCCTCCTCCTCGGTGACGCACCCGGAGGCCGCCTCATCCGCGCCAGACCGCCACCCGCCGCCATCCGCCACCGAGGACGACGACGACGCCACCTCTCCCGCGGCGCTGGCCGTGGTGACCGCGGTCACCTCGGCCTCCGCGGCCGCGATCACCGCGGCGGCGTGCACGCGGCGCCGCTTGCTGCGCTTGCCCTTGACGACGATGGCCGTGAGCGCATCCGGTGGCGTGCCGTGGCCGTATCCGTCGCCGGCCTCCTCCCCCATCGATCGATCGGCGTTGGACGACGTTAGAAACAAGGAGGAGGTGGGAGGGAGGAGAATACAAGGTGGTGGAAGGAGGAAGGTTGGTGATGGATGGAAGGATGCTTAATAGTTTGCTTGCATATGGAGAGGAGAGTGGGTTGAGACTTGAGAGGAAGGAAGGAATGGAGTGGTGGTGGTGGTGGTGTGTGTGGAGTGGTGGTAATAATAAAGTTGGGATTTGAGGAGGAGGAGGAGATGTCAACAAGGCCAGGCCAGGCAATGTGGCAGCTAAGAAGGATTGATGGAGAAACAAAAGCTTGCTCATTGATGCCTGGCAATGTGGCAATAAACTACTAGTGCTCATTGGTGATTGGTGAATGGTTGGGCTGAGCTGGCTGGCTGGCTAGGCCTGTTATTTTGGGACTTGTGTAAAATTCCAAGAAGAGTGGAAGAAAAAACCAACTCAATGGTGAAGAGTGTAGAGTGTCAAGGGCTCTTCTTTGGTTTACAACACATCAAGAGGGGAAAAACGTAAATATGAACAAGAATGCAGGTGTAAAACAGAGGATGGTAAACGGGGAGACATATTCTAGCGCACTTGTGTGGATGAGTCGCATACGGTACACACAAGTGTGCATTGATCTTACGCGTTGGAGTAAACTATGTCTTGCATAAAGCCAATATGCCAACGGAAAAAAAATATGCCCGTTAAATATTTACCAGATATTTCTCTGCGTTTAGCGAGGCAATGTCATCATCCGTGTGTTCCCGCCTGTTATCCCATTGAAAACCCACTGCTTTCCGCATTAAATCGGTGAGAGAGATGGCGTGGATGTTTTGGTTCCTATTTACTTTTGGTTACAGGAAAATAATACAAAAGGGAACTTTCTTACACGTCCCGGATGTCTCAGTCCATTAGCCCAGAGGCGTGCACAAGGCTTAACCCTACAGAAATTTAAATCACGCACCTTTTCTAAAAATTTATTCACCCCACAAAGGGCATAATCATTAGAACCTAGAATTTTACCCCAGATCTTCAATATGTCTACATGGGAGTGTTCCTCTAGTGATTTACACTTGGGTGTTTGTAGAAAAAATGCCACGCATGGAGAAATTTATGATGGTTATGTTTGTGATCAACAGGTGTAAGTTTACTTGTCTAAGTAGCATGTGGTTGTATACCTAGTTAGACATAATATATTTTTGTATGTTATCTTGGATTCTGCTCTAGTCCCTTCATGTGGGACAGATCTTTCAACAAGATCCACATGGTAGTGGCCAAGATGTTAGAACCAACAGAGGTGAGTGGTTAACCATGAAAACCACAATGAAGTCCATAATATAACAATTATCTAATCATCATTACACTGTGCATCACCCCTGGAAATTTGATTGAAGATTTCCATATCAAGTGCTAACAATTATCTAATCATCATTACACTGTGCCCCAAGATGTTAGAATCTCACAAGTAAAGAAATAATGTGATTCTTACTATTTGGGAATACGGAGATGACATGCTAACTCAAATAGCTCAAGGAAAATCTACTATAATCGTAGATGAAAACTACAATGAATCCAAGTCATTGTTTGTCTTCCTTTCACCAATCAAACTAGGGGGTTAATTTTCATAAGCTTGCTTGGAATGTAAGTTGTTCACTATAATTTTGGAAGAACTTGAAACTTCTACCTTATGTCCCAATATAGTTAATTATAGAATGATTTCCACCTTTTACCCCATAGTAGCTGGAATTTGTACATGTGTGACACCCCATTTATTGAAGATACCTCTAGATAGTGAAACTTGCTCCCAATTTTAATCCGGAGCAATTTCCACTAAATGGGCTAACTTATATTACAAATAGACAACTAGATGGGGAAAAAATGGAATTCGTCGTTTCCTATATATATAAGGGTAGAAAATTTGTAATTTTTCCCAATGGAAATGAAATGTGGCCCTTACTATTCATAAGCTAAAGTGAGATTGGATGTTCAAAATTCACCATATTATGTGATTTTTTCAAGCAAATGTGTGAAGTGGTTAAAGGAGAGCGTCAAATTGGCTCCCGTGTTCC